TTTCGTTCGTTCCCCATTACTAACTTCATAAGTAACCGGCCTTAGTAGGGGATATAATTCTATAAACCATTTTACATCGTTGAAAGTATTAGAACTATAACTACTATTATATAGTACTATATTTCGTATTACGGTTATTACTTCGGGAATTTATTAAATTTTAACGAAATTATATTAAATATTATTTATTTATTAAATAAATTCTACATCCGTCAAGAATTCTAATAAAAATCCTTCTCCTCCCAATTATTAAAAGATAAACCTCTAAAATTAAATAATAAATTAGAATTAACGGCAATAATAAGGGGATTATTAATATTACTATTATTTCCCGCAATAGCGGCAATAGTACTACCCGTATTCTTGAACCATCCTAATACCTTTTTCTTATTATTCCAAGTATCGGGTACCTTATCGGGTTCGTACTACTAATAATTAGGAATACTAAGGATACAATAATAGCTACAAAGAAATACTTCAAGCCTTTATAAACTTTTTTACTACAAATATTATACGCAACGCGCTCATCTATACTACTTCTACTATTTTCAACCTTAATCTCTTTAATCTCTTTAATTTTAACCTCTACCTTCGTAACAATTATATTAATACAATCCTTCTAAATATTAACTAAAGTAAATAATTTAACTAGGAATAATAGAATTATTAATTCGTTTTTATTTATATCGGCGGCCTATAATATAGCTTCGTTGGGAAAGGAACGCTTAATAACGTTAAAGAGGTTAATTAATTTAATTATATCGCTAATAACGCATCCAACGTCCTTAATACGCTTACGTAAAGCCTACTAGCGTATAAAGAAGGCCTCTAAAGTAATAAAAGAAACGTACTTAATAGTTTAATACTTATCGAAAATATCGCTCTTAACCTCGTTAATAATATTAGAAATACTACTCTTAATAAAATCGAAAAGGTACTTCGAATCGTCGTTATCCTCATCGTTAATAGAAAAAACATTCTAAACGTTCTCGTCGCGAATAATAAAGTAAATAATAGCTATAACCTTAGCACAATCTATATACTACTAATAAAAGCGCTTCTTATCCTCATCCTTAATCTTATTATTAATCTTAGGTTCAATAATACTTATAGTAATATAGAATTTAAGGCCCTATAAAGTAAACTCAACCTTTAGGGTACGCGACCAAGTATTAAAGTTGGATTTACCCTTTAAAGGAATTAAAGTAGCAACGTTAAAAAATATAGCGCCATTATTATCGTAATCTCTATAATTTCAAATAAAAAGGTTATTTAAAGGTCGAATCTCGCTAATCGTATTTTCAATAAATTTAAAAGGAATCTCCGCAATTATAGTATATAAGTAAATATACTTTGAATTACCAACAATTTTATCTTATCGCTTAACAAATGTCGTCTCAAATACGTACACTCAATATTACAACGCAGGGTCTTATTCTCTAAATAATTCGCACTCAATATTACTCGTCTCTTATCTCTTATCTCTAAGTTCTCTGGGTTGTCAATATTCGTAAAAGCTATACGCAGCGATACGATACAATACGATCGCATACAGAGGGCTCATAACCTCTTAGACTCGTAGGCACAAGAAATATATTAATTGTACTAAGCTAGAAAGGAAGAGGAAAGGAAATGTAGAGGGCTAAAATACATAGTGGTGCGGGCTGACTGGGCCTACGTAACAGACAATATGATGCCAGTAAATAGCAGGGAGGTGGGACAGGCCCCACCACAACAAAATGACGTGCCAAGGATTGAAATATTAGGGCCGGTATAGGGATTGGGGCCTCTCTAACATAAGGCTGGGGCCGCCGGAGTAAATGCCAATAGAAGAGATAATAAATATAAAAAATCTATAACGTCTACGATCGCCGGGCGTTAATTAGAAAAGTAGAATAGGGGGTCTATTTTAGCGAGCTACAGTTTACTAATTAACCCTATTAAATACCTTTACAAATTAGGAATTATAAAATATCTCTATCGAAAGTATACTTTTATTACTTCCAATATATTTATCCTTCTTCTATTTATAACGCTTATTATAGGGGTTCTAATACTAAAGTTAATTATAAGGTTAATACTAAGATTAATAACTTTACTATCCCTACTATCCCTACTATCCTTAAGGGCCTTATTAATAAAAGCCTTACTAAAATTATAAATTTTACTAAAGGAACAATTAAGGAAATTGTTGCGTAAATTACTAGAATTATACTAGGGAGAATTAGAAAACAATTTAACCCTAAGTAAAACCCTAGAATATAAGTGTTTACTATAATAATTACGTACCGGGAGCCATAATACTACTAAACATACTAGGCGGGTTATTATGTATATTTAAGCATTAAAGCGTTAATTTACTAGTATTAGGCTAGGGGTAACAATAGTCTAATATTATATTAATAAGCGGACTCTAACAATTTTTCTAAATATCCCTTTATAAAGGATTTATTAACATCGTCTGTCATGGGGCTAGAGTCCAGGGGTTAAGCTTGGCTGTTGCCAAGCCAGCTGTCATGCAGGTGGCCGGCGCTAAGGCCAATGCACCCCCTCTGGTTAGCTAGACCCACCCGACTGCCCGGCCTGCCTGGCCCGTGCGCCCGTACTTTAAAACTTTGTCTCAACTGTACCCTTCTGGTGCAGTCTTCCTTCTTGCTCTCTTTGTTAAATATAACATTTTAACCTTACACGACTGCTCGCTGTACTTTACTTTTGTAGACCCGTTATATTATTATCGCTATCGCCATTACTATCGCTAACCTCTACCTCTTCCTCTTCTTCTTCTTCCTCCTTATTAAAAGAAGACGAAATAGATTTTTCGGCTTCGTTACTATCATTATTATCGTCGCAGTTGGAAAACTTATTAAAATTGCCGGACTTCTTCGAAGCCTTCTTACTTCTACCTCTACCTCCACTTCGATTGGTAGCGTAGGTACTACCCTATCCCTTAAGACTTATAGCCTAAATAATATTAGTAAATATTACGTATATAAACTATAACGACCGGTTAAACTTATAGTAACTATAATTTAAAACGCCGCTAATTACGAAGTTTTCCTCGCTTAGAATCGTTATTCATAGCGTAGTCTCATTATATTGAAATTTGGAATATACTCAAATTAATTACGATATATTCAAGTTAATACGCCGGCGTTATAATAAATCTATATATTATATAATTACAAATAAAAAGAAGAAGAGGAAAAAGAAGAGGAAGAAATTTAGCGGCCCGAGAAGGATTTTAAATTATACGCAGGACCGACTACTAACTTCTACCGCCTTCTATATTGCTACGTTGGTAATTAAGTAAATAAGTTTTATTTCAATTTAAAAATAGGATGAAATAGCAGGGTATTAATAATAATCGCAATAAATAGTAATAATATTAATCTTAAATACACATTTACTTAATCCGTTATTAAACTTAATATAGGGTTAGCTCGCGCTATATAAAACAAGGGTCCTTCTAAACGGTAATAAATATAATTTTAATAAGGGAGTAGTAATTATATAACTAATAAAGTGATAGCTGCCCCTGGAAAAAAATAAATAAAGGTAGGATACGTATTTATATATTGTATAATATTAATAATAAATATAGTAAATATATAAATGTATAAATACCGCCCTACTATATTTAATAATCTAATTGAAGACGGTAATAAGGTACGTACTTAAAGGGGTAAAAATATTATATATTTATAAAAAGTAGATTCTTTAAAGAGTAATAATAGAATTAAAATTTAATTTAGTTATATAAGAGGGAAGATTCTTCAAACAGTGAAAAAGGAATCCAAATTTGGATCCGAAATTCGATTATACTTATTTAAATACTCTCCTACAAATATAAACTATATAACCCTCTTGTCTTATTTAGAATATTATGCCGAAAGTACTTTACTTATTAAAGTATTTACTTCGTACTTCTAAATAGGATCGATTAACGTACTAAGAAACCTTCCTATACATAATACGTAACTTAATAAAATAACCTAATTATTTATTATTATAGATAGGATGAACGGTCTTATACATATATAAATTTCAAATTAATTATAATAGAGAATCATATCAAACGGGTAGTATAATTATTAATAATTTCTAATTTATCTAAAAATCTTTTACCTTTTCAATCTCTCCCCTTTATAACCTTCTTCTTAATATATTTATTCATTATATATATTCTATATTTAAATACCCCTCCTGTTTTATATACGTATCTTTTTTATTGACCAACCCAATCGATAGATACGAATATCGGCTATGCTAATTGCTCGTAGACCTAAGAATATACCCCGGTAGGCACCCCTAACCTTCGATAAGAGGTCTTTTAGGGTTGGCTATAGTAGTCGTAGAGTACCGTCCTTACGACTAGATCCAGTGTTTGACCCGTAATAACAATAATATTAATATGATGACTAATATAGTTATAGGTCCTAAAGTGCCGGCTTTGCCCCGCTCTTTGACGGTAATAACGATACAATTATATTAGGGGCCCTGCTAAGGGGGCACTTATTGTTTTGCTCGGGGGGCACTAATACCCATAGGGGTTAGGGTTTTCTGTGTGTAAATTTTGGGCTATGTAATTTCGTAATACCGCCCATGGTGTTTATAGTCGCCAGCCGTGCCCGCTAGCCGCCCCGACCCAGTTGTACATACCACATATGTGAACTTGGCGATTTTGAACATTTACCCTTTCAACACTACCTCTATCACCAAACATTAACGAAATCAATTGCCAATAGGATCAATCGCATCGCCCGCACGCAGTCAACACTATAGCGCATTATCTATAAATACTATTTACGATAGTTTGCAATTAATATTCATTGATATATATAGGGGTTTGTATAGAGTGCAATATATTAATTCATTTTGTAATCTTTATTAACTAGTAATTATAATATTAGTAACGCATTAGAAAGGGAGAAGCACGTGCGGCTGGCAGTAGAGTCTGGGCGGCTGGCGGGCACGACCCGCCTTGTGTGACTATCAACACCATGGGCGGTATCACTAAAAATACACCCTGATATTTACACGCAGAGAACCCTAACCCCCAAAGGTATTAGTGCCCCCCGAGCAAAAGGAGTAGTGCCCCCCTAGCAGGGCCCTATATTAGACCCAGTCGTTGGACTTGGTGATGATAAAGACAGCGAGGACGACGATAATAATAATGAAAATAGTAAGAATTATTTAACCGATGATCCAAGTTACGCTTAATCGCTAATTTAATATAGGCGGTATTAATTAGAATATTATATTCCGAGAAAGGTTCGAACGTTTAATAGTAAATAATATCCACTATAATAATATAAACGATATCGATCCTTACGAAATTCTTCTAATTAGGTTCGACGAAGAATAATTGTATTTTGATTTAAAATATACGGAACGAAAGTTCGATAGATAAGAGTTAGAGACTATCGTATTCGACGAAGATTTTTTCGATGAGGACCTCGCTATTAAAGATTGGATGGATGAGTAAACCCTATACTAAATTGTTGAGCCCGGAATTTCGGGGACTATTGAAGGGGGGATTTCCGATACGTCTATACTTATTCATTACTACTACAACAAATCTATGGAATTATTAGACTTCCATGTAGGCTTTAGTCTATACGCACATATTAATTGTATAAAAGGCGCCGATTATACTATATTATACTAATTACTTGGTTCGTTATACGGCTAAGATAGTAAACCGATATTAGCTATTAAACGCATACTAAAATAATTGCAGACTCTCAAAGCTTATATCGAATCCAGATTACTGTTATTAGATATGCGAATTGCTAATATCCCACTGCAGGTCGAAAAGATAAAGATAAAATCGGCCAATCGAAAAAAAACAATAATAATAAGAGCAGGCTATACGCAACGAGTAATAGTAAAACAGTTCAAACGGAGATTCCGAGTTAGATTCCGAGTCAGACCCGGCCATAATTATAGCCCTACTGTTTTTTATAGACCCGTATGCCCTATTCCAAGCCTTCCTCAATTCCGATACCGCCAATGGGATATATAAAGGTATAGCCCATTTAATAAACAACCCGACTAAATTACACTATACGCTCTATTGATCTAGTTCAGTATATACCATTTCCGGGGAATATACGCATTTTATTAGCGGCACCGACGTTAGAAAAGCCATTTTTCCGTCAGATTTCATCTACTTTCAATATCTTAACAACAATAACTGTGTCTGTCGTTTGCCAGAGGAAGATGATAACCGCCTGTTGCATATTAGCCGTATTAAAGCTGTCGGTAAAAGTCACTTTCGAGACTACATCGATTACGCTAGGAAGATTATACTAGTCCTATAGGAATATGTCTGTTGGAGGTGTCCCGTGTCACGTGCGGCCAGCCATGGCTCCCTCTGGCCATGGCCCCACCGCACAGGGACCTCCCTTGCCCTACTTCTAGACCTCCAGACTTGCACAGTCTGACCACACACAATACATCACCATCATTGATTCGTTCGTGGTCGTTCACCCTGTTCACAGCTTTCTAATAGCTACCTTAATAAAATAATAATAACGAGGACGCTAATTTCAATATGAAAATAATAATAACGATTTTAATAATAATAATATATTCGATAATATTAATACTATTCCTCGTCGCCCTAGCAGTATTCTATCTAGCTCTAATACTACCCCTGGTCCTAGCGCTACCACTGGTCCTGCCGCTGCCCCTAGTCCTAGTGCTGCATTTCCCACCCCCGGTGGCCGGGGTGGTAGTGGCCGAGGTTCTAGTACTGCATCTAGTTCTATCTCTAGCTCTGGTGCCGCCTCAGGCTCTAGTGCCGTCTCTAGTACTACCCCTAATGCCGAAACCCCTAGCTTAAGCGCCCGTAAGTAGAAAAAGGGAAAGAGGGACGATAGCCGGTTATTATAGTAATTTTTCCCCGAATTCTTCTACGAACCTAACTGTATTAGCTTATAGAAATTACGAGAGGAAAGTGTATTTACTAAATTAAATTTCGATATAATAGATAGCGACTATATTCGCCTTATTAATAAGGACGAAGACGATCCTATACGAAATATAAAAAGGATCCGAAGTATTAAGGTACCTTAAAACAATATAATTATTATTAACGAATTAAATAAAGAGCTTCGATAAGCCTTATTCTTATACCATTACAACTAGTTTTCTAATACTATTATTACTAATGCCGTTTATAAGATTAATACTCGTTCAAAGCGATTCAAAGGGCTTCGAGAATACGTCCTCAATATTTATTGCTCAAAAGAATCAAATTTTCTAAACTATTATTTAATATCCTTTTTCCAAAATATCGTATCCGACAATTTATACTTTTTAGAATACGATATCAAAAATAATAACGAGTATAAGGTATTATTTAGAATTAATTGAAAGTTAGATTAATCGAAGGACTTTTAGCTAAATCTATATTTATATTGCTAAATATATCGATTACGACGCTGCCTTTAGTAATCGAATTAGTCTTCTATTCTACTATATTAAAATAAAGCTATAGGATATAGGTACTGTAATACTAGACGTTATTAAATCCGAACGTATTATAAATAAGGGCCGTCCTAATTTTAAAAGGGAAACCGATAAAAATATTCAAAAGATTATACGTCAAACCTTTATAACCTTACGTTTCAAAGAAAGGTATATGTTGTCGGGTGGGTTCATGTCCCCACCTCTCTTGTCTTGTCGTGTAGGTCCATGCCCTTATACCCTTCCTATATTTTAGCCCTCCATATTTCTTTTCCTTTTCTTCTCTAATCTTCTCTCTATAGTATACACATCTATACTTCTTTTGCCCTCTAATCCAAGAGGTTATAAGCCTTCTAACGATATTGAATCGCATTACTTTCGCTGCCCTTGCGCGCATCTAAGGAATCAATCAAATCGCCGTCGCACTACATAATCGTTACATACACGCCGCATTACAATAACCCCGCCGGTAAGAACCAATTCTATCGACATATTATAACCCTACCCGCCGATAAGAATTAGCTCTATTAACCTTAGCCTACGACCGAATAAAGATTTTCAATAATTTAATAATTCTCTACCTACCTCTATAGATTACAACTTCAATATTAATCCTTAAAATAACGACCCCGCCTATTAATTGAATAAATTTTCCTATTGACTTTAGCTATTACTAATATAATATCATAAAATATAATACGACCGCAAAATTAATTCCCCTTAAGGGTAAATTTAATTTTAACGCTTAGGTTCGCGCCTTACGTATTTAATTCGCCTCCCTCAGTTTGAAGCTATATATTACGACCTCAATCCTTACTTTTGAGGTTAAGGATATAACTAAGGAGGCGGATATAAAAGCCTTGGCTAAGTAGTATATAGATCGGATTAAAATTATAAGTATTATTTATTCGATTATTAATAATAAAACTATCCAATCTATCCTATTAATTAATAATCAAGATAAAGAAAATAACGAATTAAAATACTTATATAATTTTATTCGCAATAGTATTTCTAGTATTATTAACGAAGTTAAGAGCGACATTCTTAATAAATATTAAATTCTTAAATATTCTGCTTTTATTTCCTTTGAATCTTTCCTTATACGCTATTAAACCCTATATAAATATATTAAGGATATCGGTTATAAAATTAACAACTTTACCGAATTAACGAACCTATTTAATACTATAAAATACTCTTACCCTATTAATACCAAGCTCTGGGTAGCCTATTTAAATAAGAATCTCCTTACTACCAATTCTTTCCTAAGCTAATTATCGATTTTAGCTAATACTAAGGCATTTAATCTGGGAGCACCCGGGTCGTCTTACGGGGGCACCCAACCTTATATGGGCACCCGTATTTCAACCCTTGGCCAGTATTTTAGACGTAAAATAGCATTTACATCGTAAATTCCATCGTGTTACACGTACATGAAAAAAATCACAGGAATGTCCAGTAACATAGTTTTATATGGAGATTTGTATGGCACACAATGTTTTCAACATGGGAGAGTCTATAGCATTCATCTATACACTTCAAATAACTATACTACTAACTATAGGGAGTAGTCTCGTAATACTTTACATAGTGTTTTAGTTAGAGGCTTCCCTAACCTTCTAATTGGGCCTACTTATACGGGATCCCACGGCGGCATCTTAATGCACAATGCGCGCAATGTTTCGAGGCATCAGGAAGTTAGCAAATAATTCTAGTAATTAATACGATCAATATTTACGTACGTACAATTAATTCTAGCCTATTCTAATAATTAAAGGTAGTCTAGTTATAAAGAGGGAGCAAAAAGAAGGTTACCTTATAAAAAGACATGGGCATAGGGGGTCTACTGGGCGACTGGGCTTGGCACTATCTGGCTGTATTAAAGGGGTGAAAAAACAATATACACGTTAAACCCTAACCCGATGGGTGCCCCCGTAGGACGACCCGGGTGCCCCCCGATTAAATGCCAATACTAAAAAGTCTTTTAGCAATATAATTATTACTAAGGTCGAAACTAAGACTATAAAGATTAAGGGTAATAATTAGGACCGTACTACCTATAATATATATAATAAGAGGATTATTAAAAGTTAGAAACATTTCCCTTACAGTTATTATCGTACTCTAGAATACTCTAATTATTAGTAGTATAATCTGGATAAGGCTCTAAACAATTAAAGGAATAAAAATAAGGCAATTAAAAAAAAGAATAAAAAAGTAAGAAAAACGATTACTACAGTCGCTAATAATACTTCCAATATCTATAATCCTACTACCTCTATTAATTCTAACCTTCTATTTAGTCCAAGTAATTTATCCTTTAATAACAATTTCTTAGAAAGTTTTTACTAAAACTCTTAACGGATTTAAAATTATTTATTTATAAATGTAATAATAATAATATTTAATTTAATTTTATTAAAATCTGATAAGCTCCCGAAGTAACTTTGTTTTTAATATATAAAAATATAATAATAATGATCTTATTCACGCTTTGACTATTCTAATCTAGTCGCTTTATTTAAGCATGCGGTCCTTCGTTGTTCAAAGCCGGGCGGAAAACCCGTATATCTACTTTAAATACCGGATAAAAAACCTCCCACGTCTTTATATCTAATATATCCTTCCTTCGATCCAAACCTTCCCTTCGTTATCCTCCTATAGTTAGCCCCTCCACCCCTACCCTTATCGTCGCCTAAGATTATCTATCTTTATAGCAAGGAAGGGGGAGGGAAGAGGGGTCTTATAAATTTCGATCGGCGTTCTTAAAATCTTCTTTCGGCCCGAGGGCTCTAATTTCGAAGCGAGGGCAAATATTACCCTATTTACTTGGGGAATTGTACACTAATTGGGCGGAGAAGCTATTATATTATCGGACGGGGTAATTACTTTTTAAAGAGTAGAGAATATGTTGGAAGTCCGTGCCCTGGGCCGCCCATTCACCGGCTTTGCCCATTCACTGGGCCGTTCCATTACCGGCACTCCCTTCCAGGTATTTAGGCTGCCCTGGTTTCCGTTTCTTCTCTTCCGTTAGACAACTACAATCAAGCCCTTTTCGTTGTCGCCTTCCAGCCTCCATCAAATATTTATTATTATCCTAAATAATTTTAAATAATTCTAAATAACGCTCCAATCGTCTTTATAATTACCATTTCCCCTCTCTATTATCGTTAGCCTCCGTAAGGGGGTGCTATAAAGGCCCTATAGTATGGCGGCGTACGAGGACGTTTAAAGCGCCGCTATTAATATAAGTAATATAGAGACTGTATATTCGAATCGTATTTATAATTCTTTCTTTCTCCTTTTTGTAATATACCGTAGCGGGAAAACCCGGCGGTCATCTAGGCTAGAAGGGGGGTCTCTAGGCTAGATTCTGAGTCTGTTTAGATCTGATGTCTAGCCTAGACCCTCAATCTAGCCTAGACGCCCAATAGCAACCTCTAATTAGTCCAATCGCTTTAATTTGCTCACCCCTATAAAGATATACTAGAATCGCGAAGTCCCAACATATACTTATAGCGACCATATTCGTATGCACGGACCTCCTCGATGGAAGCCCTGAATACGATCGTTAAAGTCAACGAGTTAGCGAATATTTACAGCAACCATATTCGCACGTACGGACCTCCTCGACAAAACCCCTAAATACGATCGCCAAAATTAATGAATTAATAAATACTTATGATAATTATAATAAAACGTACCGGCCACCAATGCAATCAATCCTATTCGTCACTACATTACTATAATAATACGCTATGTATAGTAATTAAAGCTATTACAAAATTATATCCGCAAATTAATTATATAATACAATAAAATAAATGCAATAAAAAAACAGAGGAATATTATAAAATATATTATATAAATAGGACAAAGAATTAAATAATCCGGTTTTTTTATTCGTACTATAGAATTATTTTAAAATATAACCTCAAAATATCGGGATCGGATCTTATCGTTAAGTACATCGATATAATAGTACTAAATATATATGATCCCTATTAAACTTTAATAGCCTTAGTAATAGTAATTCTAATAGGATATAAAAGAATTTAGCAATTAGAAGTAACCGGTACGGTAATAAATAATACGCTCTTAGTAAAACTTAATCAAATCGATTAATTTATCAGTAAATAGATACTCATCGAAATTAAAATTATTATAATAATAATTATTAAAGGAAGACAAACCGCTACGGCCACCCTTTTTACTACGCTTAATAATTCTCCGGCCACATCTAATATAGCCGGTAAATATATCAATAAGCAGGCTATTAGCGGCAATACCAATTGGGGTACCGGAAATACCGGGAGTATTAGAAATAATAATTAAGATTATACAAAATTAAGACCATATACTTATATGGTTCGGATTAAGCGTTACCGACGATACTTAACGTAACCGGCCTCTAATTAAACCGTAAGTAAATATAGTCCTTCTAAGTATAAATATTAGAGTAAATATAGCCTCTTAAAACTAGCTAATATTTCGTACCTTTAATACGGCGGTATCCCTAATAAGGGATAGCCTAGGGCGAAGCTACCTACCCGTAGAAGTAAGTAGAGGAGTATTCGTTTCGGCGGCGGGTACGTTAATAACCG